AACAAAACTACTACTACTACTACAACAACAATCTTATTCAGGATATTGAGAGTAATGGAATGGTAAACACTAAGAAAGATACATGTACAATAAACACAAGTAAACATATGCAAAAAGTAAATGCTGAGAAATATACAAATTCAATATATAATTGACAATAAGATATAAAATAACCTAATGTGCTTTCATATTGAATTCAGAATGTCTTACAAAATGCACAATTTACTTCTCATTATGACTGATTGAATCAATTGATGTGCAGAGTAGATCAATAGTGAATTAGAAACTACGCATGAAATCATTTGGTTATATCTTTATTGTTAAGCTATTTATTGAAGGCGGTTTCTCAAAATTTATTCTACATATGTTTACTTTTAGTTATTGTACATGTATATTTCATACTGTTTACAATCTTCATACTAGTACAATAATAATAATTATTATTATTATTGTTTTTCATCGTGATCTGGTTTATTTTTGTTAGATTTCTTTAAATACAATTGTATTACATGAGATAAACAATTTCCAAGAGAAAAACTTTACACTTTTAGTACTTTTATTACCTTGTTTGATGCAACAATCTGTTTTGCTTGTTATTTTCAACAGTGAGTGTAATAAACAAATCTTTCCACACCAATCAATCAATCAGTCAATCAATAATTTTTGTGTAATTTACTTAGAATATTGCTCACGGACGTTTTGCAACAACTTCAGAATTTTTGAAACCATGAATCGATCAATCATTGTTAGACACCATTAGAAACCTGGAAGCACTGACAGACAGCCGTTTCGTCATGGTATGGGACTCCTCAGCAGTGCGCATCCATGACTCCTGCATCCCGCAGGATTCGAACCCAGAACCTCCGGTAATGTAGGCGAACGCCTAACCATCGGACCACTGAGCCGTTTACCTAACATTATTAATGTCTAACTTGATCAAATTCACGGATTTGCGCAACCTCATACACAGTCTTCGGTAGACACTGCCTACACCCGAACAGGTTGAACTTCACTGGTCACGTCTTCCCACTAGAACTCGGAGAAGATTCCTCACGAAGCTAGTCACTAGTGAGCACAGGTAATTTTCATTACAGGGGTTGTGAAGATTGGTAAGTTACACATTTTTTGAAACCATGAATCGATCAATGTTAGAGTTTCTTTCAATCAAACAGTGCCGAGTACTGTTTCTCTACTGCATGAATTTCTAGCATAAATCGATATCAGTTTGTTCATTGTCACGTAACACGTTTTGTTGAATAAAATTCTGAATGAAATAAGTATCTCAAGTGGAGGACCCATTAAGTTCCATGGTTCAGAAAAACACGTAACGTAACAAACCGTAGCAAACCAATACTGACTTCATAAATTTCAGTGACTTTTCAATGTTATGAATTTCTCTATTACCATCGATTTCAATAAGGTCACATAATACACAATTTTATCAGACAGGTATTAAGAATAGTCTTATCAATTGCATTGTTCATAACTTTTAAGAAAAATAATTATTACCAACTTAATGAGGTTTGGTATATGCATTTTTAACTCCCTACAGATAACACAAATTGATGTAATTGACTTCGTTGTGTTTTGAATGATTTCCAGTCAAAATTCCTACCAACCAAAGCAAAACGGCCTAATGAATTTTGAGCAGTATACCATTAGATGTGATGATAATGATTACCGAATTAATACTGTATGTAGACTAATTAAACTTTGATGTTGTATTGGGTAACATCATATTCACTCAATTAATTACACTACCTAATTTATCAAAGAGTTTGAACAAATGATTGTACGTTGTACATTTATTGCGGTATATCGTAGCAGCAATTCATATATGAACAATATTCTCTTTAAAAACTACAAATTACAGAACAACTAATCAAAGATGTTTCTTAATTAGAAATTTGTGACAAAGTCTTATTATGTCTCTAAAGTAATCGGCCTCACGCAAGCACTTGTACTAGTAAATGCAGTTTATAAATGTAAGCTCAAGCACGGTGTTTTTTACTACATTTAGGAAAAGTACAATTTTGTACAGGGTGGTCATGTTAAATGAATGCTGTGAGTTTGTGCTTAACAGCCTTGTCGTTCGAATACTTCATTAGTAAGTCATTTATGAGCTACAGTTGCAGAACAATCGTTTTCTTAAAACATATTTGTTGTGTACTGCCTTAACATAATTCATGTGATTGATCACAAACTCACCTGGAAAGCCAATTATTTAAGTAACGATCAGAATAACATTTAAACACTTTTCAATAACATCTACAGAACAAATCAGATCAATACAGTGAGATTTTCGCTTTTGCGTAATTGTACATTGTAGATGAAGAATGAATGAATGATTTCTGTCAAACTGATTTTGAATTTTCATGTATAACAATGTTCAACCCTCTACCATATCTTACTTACTTAGCCATATGATTCACATGTATGCTTACTGTATACAGCTTGGTCTATGGACATTTATCTCAGCAAACCACACCTCAAATTATGCAGCCATTTTCATCAACGTTTTTGTCAACCTGGCGTTTAGCGAGTAATACTCGTTATCTGTTTTCTTCATAACTATCGCTTTTTCGTGTTTTTTGTATGTTTTACGGTAATTAATTTTGGACATCTTAAAGTAATTTCAAATTTTTTTACTTACTTAGGTACGCCAGTTACCCTAAATGGAACATAGGCCACCGACCCGAATTCTCCCATCCACTCTGTTCAGGTGTCCCCTACCAGTTTTTCCAATCTTCGTTTATTCTTCTCATGTCTATCTCCATTTATCCTCAGGATTTCTTTTTTTCTTTGATCCTGAGGGTTTAAATAGAGGAATTGTCGTGTACTTCGGCTTTCTTATTTTACTTTGGCTTTTAGGGTTTCAAATGAAGACTTGACCCGTGATGAATTCGGGTGATTACAGGAAGGACAATCTTATCCAACTTCAGCGCTTTTATCTAATTTCTTCCTCCACTACAGTTGGTTGTTGCTGATGGTATCTGACCAACGGGTTTGCAGCATCAAGTGTAGACAACTGTTAATAAACACTTGTATTTGGTGAATGATTACTTTTGTTGTTCTACATGTTCCCGCCACGTACAGTAGAACTGTCTTGATGTTGGCATTTAAAATCTTGATTTTTGTGTTGGTTGTTAGTTTTCCTGAGTAGCAGATGTTGTTCAGTTGTAGAAATGAAGCCCTTGCTTTCCTGATCCACGCCTTCACATCTGCATCAGATTGACTTTGTTTATCAGTTATGACGTCAGGTATGTAAAGGTTTCCACATCTTCAAAAGCCCTTCTGTCAGGTGTGAATCGGTTGGCGCATGTTGTTTTGTGTCGGAGGATGTCTCTCTTTCTCCTGTGCATGTCGAGATCTGCTAGTGTAGCGGATGTTGCTACACTGGTCGTCTTCTCCTGCATTTGTTGTTTCGTGTGGAATAGAAGAGCTAGGTGATTTACGGAGTGTCATTCATTCAGCTGTATCCGAGTTGTCATCTGTATGTATACCTTCCTCACCCTCACATGTTGACGTCTTAATAATCCAGTCAACCATCAGGAGAAAGAGAAGGCGTGATAGTACGCAACCTTGCCTGACACCGGTCTTCATATTTTATTGATATTTAATCTGTCCTCAACGCACGACTTTGCGGTCTAGATTATCACAAGAATTACGTCTGATGTTGACTATCTAGTTTATTTGATATAATAAATCACATTATTGAAATTCTTGGGAAGACTGGAACAAACTCGTCAAACTCTGTTTCCATGCATCGTCTACATTATCTGAAATTCGCCTAATATTACACAACATTTGGGACTGTCATTGGCGGGATAGGAGAAGGATTGATGCAAGAGCGGGATAAATCTTGTGCAGGTGATAACTTCGTTCATTTGTTTCGAGTTATTCTAAATACCTATGCAACTAACTTGACTTCTGCATTACTTTATGTCTATGAAAAGGTGAAACTCAACCTTACTAAATTTTTTCTATGCATGATATGAATTCCTTATCTGTCAACCAAAGTCTCATTATGTTAAAAAATTACTTTTTTCTGTATGTTTTTTTATAAATGCTACTGTTATAGATCATACACCGGCCCGATGGATCAAGTTTTCGACATATTCCCTTATGTATTTCAAATTATAGGTTAATTTTCTTGATACTTTTCTGCATCTTGGCTGAACTTTAGTCATTTCAGTCTTATAATCAGATTATTTGGGTAGCTGTTATTACTTCACCTTTGAAGCATATTTCGTACGAAACTGCTTTTCGTGTGTCTTTCAAGTTGATGAGTATCTTTCTGAAACAACGAATGTAAAGCGCTTTGTTTTTAACTACTCATCATTGTCATGTTCAGATTATGACCCAGAAAGTCAAGGAACATGTTCGTTGGTTAATCTTGCTCTGTTCAAATGTCAGACGACAAATTTTATCAAAGCAAACTTGGGCACTCTATACAGTCAGTGAAAAGATAACCGTTTTTCCTTACATTAGCATAGCAAAACCTAAAGCTTTTACGGAATTATTTTCCTACCGTACAAAGGTTTAGTTTAACCTACTAATATCTAATATATTTCGCTAAATTTTAAAGCTTGAATCCCTGAAGTATATTTTATGTTGAACTTGACACAGTCAACAAATTTAAAAGATTATCTCTGAATGCGTCTGATATAGGGTATCCAACAGATGTAAAAGTTTGGAGTGACTTCTACTTATGATGGTTAGTTATGATGTGTGAGTTAGAATGTTAACCATTTGTACACATTTGGAAACTCGCACACGACATTAAATTATTCTGCGGACTATTCAACTATTATAGGGTGCGTTTACTTCGTGTTTCATCATTGTATGCACAAGTTCCACGTATTATTTTTCAAATCAGAGGAAGTACCTTTGTTGCTGTCAATAGTTTGTTTTAATTAATTTCAACGTATAACTGAATCCAAGTCGGCTGTCGACTATATTTATTGTAGCTTTTTGGCTTCTGGGCCTATAACAGTTTAGTAAATAACCATAATACACAATTCTGGATGAAACGTATATGGAATACCCATCATTTTATTCAAATCCAAGGCGCTAGTAAACTATAACAGTAAACTGTGGGACAAAAATTGCATGTATTTTTGCGCTTGGTCTGTTGAGGCAGTTTATGTTTAGTGAGAGACGGATTATTGAATAATTCGATTGTTTAACAAAGGTAAAGTTAAAAATTAACTAATTTTATATGGATTAGTGAATAGAGAATATATTCAAAAAGACTAAGAGAAAAATCAATTTGAAAGTTGGACAAAATGTGTATAAAATTGATGAGTGAATAACAAAGTTTAGATGTTCTTCACTGAACGTTTCCAGTAGTTGTTGTTATTTCTGTTCGTAATTATTTTCACAAAATATATTCTTTGTTATGTAACTCTATTCATCATTACCACGCTTTATGGCCAATAGAACACATACTGCGAATATTAAGCACGTACATTGTACCAATGCAAATAGAAATACGCTGACTATGATAGCATTTAAGTGCTTTTTGCTTATTTCACTGACTTTTTTGATACATCCCTGAAAAAAAAGAATACTTTGGTATAAAGCAATGATTTTGCCAAGAAATCAGTTTGACTGACTTTTATTAAGTAAATCTGACTATAAGCATCATCAAAATACAGAAAGTTTTGTTTTATTTTGATTTAACCACCTGTAAATCTCTGGTTATTTTCGTCTTTTACAAAATACCTGAGGCAATACTTATCTTTGACAAATTAAAGTAAGTATATTTCCATATGTTTTTTGGGAACATAAAGAGATCTAATACCTAAATCATAGAAGTCTCAAGATGAGGATGAAGATTATACAATCTTACACTAGCAAATATGATGACACCAAAATTTTGCACTTTCTAATCATTAAAAACTTTTAGGCAAAAGAACTATTTAGAAGACTTATTAAGAGATCTCATTTCGCCTACATTATGCTCCATAGATGAACCGTTGTATTCAAGCGCATAAATTATAAGGATAATTACGGAAAAATGAAACAGAATAATGATAAAAGTAATTAGCTGCCTCTTCTTAAGTTAAAATCTAATAAGTCACTCCTGTCTTTTAGACAGTTGCCAGAATTTCTCAGTAAAGTTCTTACAAACTTCGTTTCCTTGGCAGCAGACTAGGTAAATTTAAAATAATTGAACAAGTATTTTATGAAGGCATAAGTGGGCAGTTGGTAAAAAGACAGGAAACAAAGTGAGTGCATACTATTCAGTCTTGATTTTTTATTTAAATCCACAGAGACGGCCAACGCGATAGAGTGACCAAACTTTGTGTTTCACCGATCTCAACATTATTCCGAAAACACTCTTTACTTTAGGCTTAAGTCCAAAATTGTGTGCACCACAAAAACATGCTTGATATCTAGCAGAGAAGTCTAATATGAGTGAGTTATAATGTCTCGTCCTAGGAAAGGATACGCACGAAGTGTGGCTACTTTAATTTATGCTTTCTATTATCACACTGTCTTGTATAACTAAAAATTTCTTTACTTTTTAAAACAGATGATCCCTAAACACCTCAGCCGGTAAAGAATAATCTTCATAAAAGTTTTTATAAGGTAATCTAAACACGCTACTTAATTATTCGGAGATACGACAAAAACTGATAGACCCTGTTAATTCCGTATTATTTCAGGTGACGAAAATTTCGAAGCTATTAATAAATCTATCTGAGTTGTTCTTAATCATAGTGGTTTGTGAATCCTACAAGATTTTTGATTTTACAGTCACAGTTCAACATCATTTAGTTTACAGTAAGGATTTCGAAGAAGCGTGGACTATAAAAAGGACACGAAGAAAGTGATGAAAAACTATGCACACCCCAATTTACAGAGTGACTAAGAAATAATAAAAAATAAATGTCCATTAATTTTAAGCTCTTCCTCCTGCACTTTCCTCCCCACCATATTTAGGGACGTTTCTTATTTTCGTATTGTCTAAGTATAATTAAGCATCTCACTTCAGGAACACAGGTGAAAATAACTTTTACAAAATGCATAAACTAACGTACTTGAAAAGTTTTGCCGGCGAATTATTTAGTATACATGTGATTTTTTGTTTTCACTTTCGTAATTTTTAACATAAATATTTTATGTCTGATTACCGATATTTGGTTAGAAGACATTTTTACTTAGCTCTGTTAAGCATGTTCAATAGTATTATAAACTAGGCGAAAACGAATAAAATATAGAAAACTCTGACTGAAACAGAAAAAATATGTGTAAATTTACCTCTGTGAATGGTTTTCCCTCATGGAGGCATGATTCGGGTATCGACCCTCCATAATCGTCCGAAGATTCAGCTCCACAACATTGCAACTGTCAAAAGCGGTTTAATGATAATTTGAACTCACTTTTTCTTGGATTTCATCAAGAACTTTTCTAACATGCTTTTTTTGCTTGTATTCTTCTATGAATTCTTTTAATGCATCTGTTACGTGTTTTTTGACCTATAACAATAGTGTCAGCCTACTAAACCTTACCTTGGGTTTTTCTATTATCGCAAATATTCCTGCAGCTATTTCTAAGATTATTAAAACTGTCAAAAGAATACAGTACTATTAGGATTTCATAAGTGCAAATACTTATTCCTACCATAGTCAATAAACAGACATTCTTCGTGCATGCACCAAACATTCCCAAACCCCCTAAAACGAACAAGAAACATCCGAGGACAATAATGAAGATGATGAGTGATTGAAGCGGAGGTTCAATGTCTTTCCAGTGATTGACAACAGAATGTAGTCCAAGCGCACCAACCACAATGAGAGCAAGACCACATATCTGAATATGTTTAAACAACATATCCAAGAACTTACGAAGGCTGCACAGTTGAAAATAATTAACAAACACTGCAAGCACTTGTATCCACAACCAAGAGCCATGGTATTGACTTACGCGTGATAACACCCCACACCTTTTATAGTGCTTTGAAAAGGAAAGGTCAATTTCAATATCCAATGTCTTTTTAAAGGTCCAGTGCAGACCAACTAGTTTCTTTGCGCTAGGTTATTGTTCTTTTATTACGGTTCAAGGTATTCAGCAGTTCCCAATGGATAGCAGTTTAGCCACTTGACTGCACTGATTCTGGTTAGTTGAATGTTATTCATGAACATACGTCCCGCAATTTGTATGAATGCGTTTGTTTCAGGGCAGTATGATTTTTGAATATCAGTTAGTTGCAGTATGAAAACCATTTAGGCTAAAATTCAAAAGCTAATGAGAACATTTGAGAATTAAATAAATAAATGAATTATTAGCTCCATTCATTGGTAGTTAATATTGTGCGAGAGGACAGAAATGTAAGCAAGAGAGTGGGAACAGATAATAAGTGAAATAGAGCAACTGAGTGATGTGAAGAAACGGCGATGATAACAGCTAGCAGGTTCCGAGATATGCATCAGTCACAGATGGTCCGAGGGGAAGGTGAGAATCCGTATGTGTACGATTTTTGTCAATCCACTTCTGGAATCTATCCGTTGATGGAGCTGTGATCACTTCCGCTGGATAGCATCCTACGTTTCGATGACTTTGATAAACAAGAAGTTGGAACGAAATCAAAAGTTAACTCTTTGATGCACAACCTTCTAGGATTACCTCCCCGAATGTTGAGGTGATTTTTCGGCAACATGCTCGCGTTTGAATGATTTGACATACTTAATATGCCGTAAACTTCCATTGAGGATGAGAGGTTTTGTGTCGCCAATGTGAAATTATTATCTTCTAAAGATATACCACTCATATCCACGCAACTTCAGTTCTATGATTATATGACTAGCTTTTATTACGCAGATCTGAATACTTGTTATTTTGTCCATTGACAGTCCATTCTATTGAGGCTGTAAGTTTTATGCATCACATAAGGCAGAAATTTCTACTGGTTAAACTTTAACTCATTTTCACTAACTATTACTAATTTTATGTAAAATCCTTTTGAAGCTAAGTTGATTTCATTTGGCTTCTTATGAACTTCCAGATCTTAGCCGAAGCCATAGCAATTCATACATTCAACTCCAATTTATGTGTTCAGAAGTATTTCGTTACACCCCTATGATTTCCGTGGCGGGATGTGACATAACTTACCTTAAAAATCTTTTCTGAACTTCATTTCGTTATTCTTAGCATTATTTACACAAAAGAAATACATTATTTCATTGAACAAAAAATAAACATCCTCAAAGTGTAAAGCTTTTCGCCTGTATATATCATTTATTGAAGTTGTTACGATTATATTTATAAAAATCTGACAGAAAAAAAATAAACTAGTTCACAGTGAAGAAAAAACTACAACAACAACAACAACATGAATCAGGATATTGATAGTAATGGAATGGTAAACACTATGAAAGATAAGTGTAAACATATGTAGAATAAATGCTGAGAAATACAAATTCAATATATAATTGACAATAAGATATAATAACCTAATGTGCTTTCATACTGAATTCAGAATATCTTTCAAAATGCACAATTTACTTCTCATTATGACTGATTGAATCAACTGATGTGCAGAGTAGATCAATAGTGAATTAGAAACTACGCATGAAATCATTTGGTTATATCTTTATTGCTAAATTATTTATTGAAGGCGGTTTCTCAAAATTTATTCTACATATGTTTACTTTTATTCATTGCACACATATATTTCATCGTGTTTACAATCTTCATACTTAGTACAACAATGATAATAATAATAATTATTATTATTATTATTATTATTATTGTTTTTCATCGTGATCTGGTTTATTTTTGTTAGATTTCTTTAAATACAATTGTATTACATGAGATAAACAATTTCCAAGAGAAAAGCTTTACACTCTTAATACTTTTATTACCTTGTTTGATGCAACAATCTGTTTTGCTTGTTATTTTCAACAGTGAGTGTAATAAACAAACCTTTCCACACCAATCAATCAATCAATAATTTTTGTGTAATTCACTTTGAAATTTGCTCACGGACGTTTTGCAACATATTCAGATTTGTTAATCGAGTTTCTTTCATTCAAACAGTGTCAAGTACTGTTTCTCTTTTGCGTGAATTTCTAGTATAAATCGATACCTCTTTAGTCATTGTCACGTAACACGTTTTGATGAATAAAATGCTGAATAAACTAAGTATCTGAAGTGGAAAGAGCCACTGATTTCCATGGTTCATAAAAACACGTAACGTAACAAACCGTAGCAAACCAATACTGACTTCATAAATTTCAGTGAGTCTTCAATGTTATGAATTTCTCTATCACCATCGATTTCAATAAGGTCACATAATACACAATTTTATCAGACAGGTATTAAGAATAGTTTTATCAATTGCATTGTTCATAACTTTTGAGAAAAATAACTATTGCCAACCTAATGAGATTTGGTATATGCATTTTTAACTCCCTACAGATAACACAAATTGATGTAATTGACTTCGTTGTGTTTTGAATGATTTCCAGTCAAAATTCCTACCGACCAAAGCAAAACGGCCTAATGAATTTTGAGCATTATATCATTAGATGTGATGATAATGATTACCGAATTAATACTGAATGTAGACTAATTAAACTTTGATGTTGTATTGGGTAACATCATATTCACTCAATTAATTACACTACCTAATTTATCAAAGAATTTGAACAAATGATTGTACGTTGTACATTTATTGCGGTATATCGTAGCAGCAATTCATATATGAACAATATTCTCTTTGAAAGCTACAAATTACAGAACAACTAATCAAAGATGCTTCTTACTTAGAAATTAGTGACAAAGTCTAACTATGTCTCTAAAGTAATTGGCTTCACGCACGCACTTTTACTAGTAAATGCACTTTATAAACGTAAGTTCAAGCACGGTGTTTTTTACTACATTTAGGAAAAGTACAATTTTGTACAGGATGGTCATGTTAAATGAATGCTGTGAGTTTGTGCTTAACAGCCTTGTCGTTCCATTACTTCAGTAGTAAGTCATTTATGAGCTGCAGTGACTGAACAAAGATTTTCTTAAAACATATTTGTTGTGTACTGCCTTAACATAATTCATGTGATTGATCACAAACTCACCTGGAAAGCCAATTATTTAAGTAACGATCAGAATAACATTTAAACACTTTTCAATAACATCTACAGAACAAATTGGATCAACACAGTGAGATTGTCGCTTTTGCGTAATTGTACATTGTAGATGAAGAACGATTGAACGATTTCTGTCAAACTTATTTTGAATTTTCCTGTATAACAATGTTCAACGCTCTACCATATCTTGCTTACTTTGCTACATGATTCATATATATGCTTACTGTATACAGCTTAGTCTGTGGACATTTATCTCAGCAAACCACACCTCAAATTATGCAGCCATTTTCATCAACGTTTTTTGTCAACCTGGCGTTTAGCAAGTAATACTCGCTATCTGTTTTCTTTATAACTATCGCTTTTTCGTGTTGTTGTATGTTTTACGGTAATTAATTTTGGACATCTTAAAGTAATTTCAAATTTTGTTACTTACTTAATTACGCCAGTTACCCTAAATGGAACATAGGCCTCCGACCCGTATTCTCCCACCTACTCTGTTCTAGGTGTCCCCTACCAGATTTTCTAATCTTCGTTTATTCTTCCCATGTCTATCTTCATTTATCCGCGTAATGTGTTCCTCAGGCTTCCTTTTTTCTTTGAGCCTGAGGATTCAAAGAGGAATTGTCGTGTACTTTGGCTTTCTTATTTTATTTTGGCTTTTATTGTTTCAAATGAAGACTTGACCCGTGATGAATTCGGGTGATTACAGGAAGGACAATCTTATCCAACTTCAGCGCTTTTATCTAATTTCTTCCTCCACTACAGTTGGTTGTTACTGATGGTATCTGACCAACGGATTTGCAGTATCAAATGTACACAACTGTTAATAAACACTTGCATTTGGTGAATGATGACTTTCGTTGTTCTACAAATTTCCGCCACATACAGTACCACTGTCTTGATGTTCACAATAAAAATTTTGACTTTTGTGTTTGTTGTTAGTTTTCCTGAGTAGCAGATGTTGTTCAGTTGTAGAAATGAAGCCCTTGCTTTCCTGATCCACGCCTTCACATCTGCATCAGATTGACTTTGTTTATCAGTTATGACGTCAGGTATGTAAAGGTTTCCACATCTTCAAAAGCCCTTCCATCAGGTGTGAATCGGTTGGCGCATGTTTTATTGAATTGGCGGATCCGAGTTGTCATCTGTATCTGTTGTTCACCCTAACATTCTGACGTCTTAATAATCCAGTCAACCATCAGGAGAAAGAGAAGGCGTGATAGTAGGCAACCTTGCCTGACACCGGTCTTCATATTTTATGAGTATTTAATCTGTCCTCAATGCGCGACCTTGCAGTCTAGTTGATCACAAGAATTACGTCTGATGTTGACTATCTAGTTTATTTGATATAATAAATCACATTACAGATATTCTTCGGAAGACTGGAACAAACTCGTCAAAACTCTGTTTCCATGCCTCGTCTACACTGTCAGAAATTCTCCTAATATTACTTAAGGTTTGGAAATTTCGTTTGGAACTGTCATTGGCAGTATAGAAGAAGGATTGAAGCTAGGGCGGGATAAATCTTGTGCAGGTGATAACTTCGTTAATTTGTTTCGAGTTATTCTAAATTCATATGCAGTTTGTTGATTTTAAATACTCGAAGAATTCAACCTATCATTTATTTAAAGAATTCACTGTTCTGTGTACACATAAATCCTTGTAAAAGCTAATGAATAGGAATTATTCATATGAACACCAATATTTTCCATTACTCCCACCTTATTTATTTCCAGCTTATCAGCTCTATTGAATATAGGTGAATTTCAGAAGACATATACTCCACGACTTGGGTTTACAGATGAGGTAATGGCAACTAGGATCGACTTCAGGTTATGATCTTCATTAGTAAAGAAGTATGCAGTGCGAACTAATTTTCCGCGCTTTATCGAACAAAACACACAGTGAGGTATTTAAATTGTATAAATACTTATCTGCTCTTTCTTCCTGTTTAGTTTACTGGTTTGAACGTCTATCTTGAAGCATATATCTGAAAGAACAGAAAGGAGGGTTATTGTTCGTCTCTCTGAACGAAACCCTGCAAAACAAAAACTCAGTAATTAATGTGGTAGTTACAATAAGGCTTCCTCCCATCTGC